GGGGAGAGGTTGGAGTGGGTGAGAGGGGTGGAGAGGTTGAGGCGATTGATGTCTCGACGGCAGTTGGAGATGAAGAGGTCGAGGGAGGGTAGGAGGCCTTGGGGTGGTGTCCAGGAGGAGGGGGTGTGTTGGAAGCGGGAGAAGGGGTCAGTAGAGGGAGGGTTAGGTTCACGGTTAAAGAAGTAAGCGTGGAGGCGGAGGCGGCGGAAAAACTGCTCTATGTCCAAAACGATCAGGGTAACATTTAAGTGTGACATATTTTCTGAGAAAATTCACCCATTGTTCCTGCTGGAAAGTGCCGGTATGATAATGCCATCAGGCTAATTTAAGATGAGTTCCCACATTGAAATAACAAGACATTCACATTCCAAAATTTTGGATGTGTGTTTAATTCCTTTTAAGATCTTATGGCAACAGGCGCTGTCCAAAGTTTATGTTTGTTAAGCTACTCAATAATTGTTCCCCTCTTTGCATAATGAAATCTCAGTTACATTGAGCCTCCCAAATATACCCAGTTGAATTTCGGAATTTACTATGTTCTGAATCTACCTACCTTGGTGTAGCTTGTTGTTGGCCTGAAATGCAGCACTATGCTGGGTTGCCTGTCTGTCAGAAACACACTCTGAGCGATATGATCCTCCCAATGTGACCTTTCTTTTCAGGCGGTTCAGAGACATTGCTAACCAACATCCCCTCCCCTACACTCCATGTCAAATCTCCGTTTTCTGGTGAGAGTTTTGGCCTGTAACCGTAGTAAATTTCTCAGTCAAAAAAATCCTCCCCCATTTTGTAGGTTAGAGTTCAGCAGCTACAGGTTACTAAAATTAGCATAAGAAGACAGCCTGTTCTGGGGTTGATCCAGGTCACTGGTGGCGTTGCTATGGTGCAGCAGTTGCGAAAGATTCCGGTTTTCTGAAGCAGTTTCTTTTGCTGGCGTTGTTTCAACACAGCAGCTTGGAATACTTAACCCTATGGCGGCTGAAGGTTTTTTAAACTGTAAGCTCAATTATCTGTGGACCCTGTCTTTCTCCATTTCTGTTTCCTGCAGCTTAGCTGTGAACACAGCTAATGTGGTTAGTTTGCACAGCTTGATTACAGTAAACATTACACATGTGAGATCAGCATTGGAGCATGGTGGTGGGTGTGGTGGTGGCGGCGGTGATGGGGAGCAGTTCTTGACACAAAATGAGAGAAAGGCTGGTTGAGCTGAATTATCTGTTTATGTGACATATAAAAGGGCCTTGGTTTAAGGTTTATCAAAACATTAGCACCTCCAACAGTGCAGTGCTTCTCAGTACTGCATCAGAATACAAGTGTCAATTGGAAAACATTTAGAGGATGGTGATCATTGTACTTAAGGTCCAGGCTGTCCACAGAAAGAGTAAGAATAATTAACAGAAAAGTCGCCTTCAACAGCATAGGAATGGATCTGAACCAAATAAATTGATTTCAAAGGGTAACCAGCAAAATGGTAGTTAAACAATGGGCTACCTTCAAAGAAAGAGTTTATAGCTAGAATGTATTTCTTCAAAAGGGAAACATATTGCGAGCTAATCGAGAGCTCGCTGGTTGACCAAAGAGATAAAAAAAAAGTTACATTAGAAAAAGTGTGTGTATGACAGATTTCAGGCAGAAAATACAATTCAGAATCAGGCAGAATGTAGAAAGTTCAGAGGGAAGGTAAAAAGGCAAATAAGCAAAGAGGAAGTATGAATAGCCTCACAGCCAACATAAAAGGTAATCCCAGAGTCTTGTGTAAACAAGTATTTGTAGAAGGATTGAAACAAGAGGCCACAGATTTAAAGTAATTGGTGAAAGAAACAAAAGTGATAGAAGGAAAACTTTTTCACTCGATGAGTATAGTTAGTAAATTTGCAGATGACACCAAAATAGGTGGTGTAGTGGACAGTGAAGAAGGTTACAAAAACAGAAGTTGTTGGAAAAGCTCAACCAGTCTGGCAGCATCTGTGAAGAAATATCAAAGTTAACATTTCGGGTCCGGTTACCCTTCCTCAGAACTTCTGAAGAAAAGTCACCGGACCCAAAATGTTAACTCTGATTTGAACAAATGAACAAATGAATAAATACTGCACTGGAACAGGCCCTTTGGCCCTCCAAGCCTGTGCCGACTATCACGCCCTAATTATTCCAACAAGCCTGCCATTTTTTGATCCATATCCCTCTATTCCCTCCTTATTCATGTACCCATCTAGGTGCCTCTTCAATGTCTTCAATATGCCCACTTCCATCACCTCTTCTGGTAGTGCATTCCAGGCTGCTACCACTCTCTGCATGAAAAACTCCCCTCGCACAGCTCCCATAAACTTTCCCCCTCTGACCTTGAACCTGTGCCCCCTTGTAATTGAAACTTCAACCGTGGGAAAAAGCCTCTGACTATCCACTTTATCTATGGCTCTCATAATTTTGTAGACCTCGATCAGGTCTCCTCTCAGCCTCCAGTGAAAACAATCCTAGCCTTTTTAACCTTTCCTCATAGCCAATGCCCTGGAGACCAGGCAATATCCTGGTGAACATTTTTCTGTACTCTCTCCAAACCTTCCACATTCTTCTGGTAGTGTGGTGACCAAAACTGCACACAATACTCCAAATGCGGCCTAACAAGGGTTTTATGTAGCTGCAACATGTTTTGCCAATTCTTATACTCCATGCCCTGGGCGATGAAGGCAAGCATGCCATATGCCTTCTTAATCACCTTGTCTACCTGTGTTGCCACTTTCAGGGAACTGTGGACTTGCACGCCTAGATCCATCTGAATGTTAGTGTTCCTAAGGGTTCTGCCATTTACAATATAATTCACACCTAAATTTGATCCTCTTCACAAGTGCTGCCAAACCTGCTGAGCTTTTCCAGCAACTTCTGTTTATGTTCCTGATTTACAGCATCCTGCAGTTCTTACAATTTTTATTTGGTGAAGAAGGTTATCTTAGAATATGACAGTACCTTGATCAGATGGGCCAATAGACTGAGGAGTGGCAGGTGGAGTTTAATTAGATAAATGTGAAATGTTGCATTTTGGTAAGGCAAACGAGGGCAGGACTTATGCACTTAATGGTAGTGTCGTGGGGAATGTTGCCAAATAAAGAAACCTGGGAGTGCAGATGCATATTTCCTTCAAAGTGGAGTTGCAGGTAGAAAGGGTGGTAAAAAAGGCGCTTGGTTTGCTCTCTTTCATTGGTCAGGTCACTGAGTATAGGAGTTGGGATTCATGTTATCGTTGTACAGGACATTGGTGAGGCCGCTTTCAGAATAATGCGTACACAATTCTGGTTGCCCTTCTATAGAAAAGATGTTGTTAAACTTGAGAGGGTACAGAATAGGTTTACAAGCATGTTGCAGAGACTGAAGGAATAGAATTATAGGAAGAGGCTGAATAGGCTGGGGCCTTTTTCTCTGGAGCGTTGGAGGCTGAGGATTGACCTTCTAGAGGTTTATAAAATCATGAGGGGCATTTATAGGGTGTATACCTGAGGTCTTTTTCCTAGGGAACGGGAGTCCAAAACTAGAGGGCATAGGTTTAAGGTGAAAAGGGAAAGATTTGAAAAGAACCTGCGGGGTAACTTTTTCAAAGGGTGGCGCATGTATGGAATGAGCTGCCAGAGCAAGTGGTGGAGGCTGGTACAATTACAATGTTTAAAAGGCTTCTGGATGGGTATATGAATAGGAAGGGTTTAGAGGGATACAGGCTAAATGCTGGCAAATGGTACTAAGTCAGATTGGGATGTCTGGTCAGCATAGACAAGTTGGACCAAAGGGTCTGATTCCATGCTTAATGACTCTGTGACTTTGAGTGGTTAGGCTCTGGAATACACTGCCTGAGGGTGCAATGGAGGCAGGTTCCATCAAAGTATTTAAAGGGAATTATCTGAAAAGGAACAATGTGCAGGGTTACAGGGAGATGGCAGGTGAATGGCACTGTGAAAGGCTAATTAACAGAGCTGATACAGACACAGTGGACTCACTGGCCTTCTGCACTGTAATGATTTTGTGATTCTGAATGTTACCCTCGAGCTCAAACACTGAATTGACCTTTTCTTCTAGACTGTCGCACAAGTGGGGACATCTGTTCAACATCCACCTTATCAATTCCATTGAGCAATATATACTTCAATCAGATCCCCCTCATTCTTCTGAACTCCCATGAGTACAAGAGCAAGCTATTCAACCGCTCCTCGTACAACAGCTCTTGCATCCCTGGAATCAACCTGGTGAACCTCCTGTGAACTGCTCCAGTGCCACCACAACCTTCCTCAAGTTAGGAGACTAAAACGTGACACCAACACCTTATGCAATAATAACAACCCTTCTAATAATAAATACCAAGATTCCATTTGCCTTTCTGTTTTTCAATAAATTTGAAGGGGAAAAATACTTCATCGACATATAATCACCCACTCTTGTGTCTGAAGCTGTGGAATAGATGACCCAACTTCACAAATGCCTTCATCCGTATAATGGGAGTAGGCATAATCATGAGATTGTCATTTTTCAGTTATCCATTAAGGAGCATATGACAGCAGCTGCATGGATTGATTAGCACCATCAAAGTTTACAGTTTAGAAATCATCTGTGTTATTGGCTTGTGCAGGCTGTTTTGATTAGCAATCTCAAAGTAATCTCCATTACCCCGACTCCCTCCCCAATACCCTTTTACTGCATCAATCCCAAACTAATCCTACTTCCTTGTGCTCATTCCATTGTCCTTTACTGTGTCAATCCCCAAACTGAAGCCACTGCCTCGCTCCTTCCTCATAGCCCTGCATTAATCCTACATCAATCCCAGTGCCCACCTTCTCTCCAAATGTGCATCAATTCTAAATGAATCTTAGAAAACCCCTTTTCATTGCCTTCTATTAATCTTCGTACCAATACCACTTATCTGTGGTCTCCTCATATTCCTGGGTTAATTCTAAAAATGCTTTCTTCCCTTAGCTCTTTAACAAGCCTGAATGATTCCTGTGAACCTCTCTCCATAGGTCTGTTTCAATCCCAAACTAATCACATTGCCCAATTCTCTCCCTATTGCTCTTGCACAAGCTCCCAGAATAATCCCACTGCCCTACTCTCATCATAGCCCTATGTCTAGGAAGGAAATCAGTATTAGAAAATCATACTGGTGAAATTAATAGGGTTAAAGACTGACAAATCACCAGGGCCTGATAATCTACATCCCAGAGATCTAAAGGAAATGGCCCTGGAAATATTTGATGCATTGGTGGCCATTTTCCAAAATTATACAGATTCTGGGGCAGTTCCTACAGATTGGAGGGTAGCAAATGTTACCCCACAATTTAAAAACCAAGGGAGAAAAAAAGGCAAATTACAGTCCAGTTAGCCTAACATCAGTAATGAAGAAAATGCTGGAATCTCTTATGAAAGATATGATAATAGAACATTTGGAAAACATTAACAGGATTGGACAAAGCCAGTACGGATTTATGAAAGGCAAACCGTGCTGAACAAATCTACTGGAAATTTTTGAGGATGTGACTGAAAGAATAGATAAGGGAGAACTAGTGAATGTGGTATATTTGAATCTTCAAAAGATTTCTTTTTAAATAAGGTTTCTCATAAGAGGTGTGTGGGCAAAGTTAAGGCACATGGGATAAGGAGTTGTAGTGGTAACATATCAGCATGGATCGAGAGCTGGTTGGACAGACAGGAAGCAGAATTAGAATAAAGTGGCAGGCTACTCCTTGTGGAGTACCACAAGGATCAGTGCGTGGGCCCCAGCTATTCACAATATAGATAAGTCACCTGGATAAAGGAACATTTCCATGTTTGTTGGTGACGCACAACTGGGTGGGGTTGTGAGGAGGATTCAAGGAGGATTCAGGGTGCTTTCGCCAAGTTGACCCAGTGGGAAACAAATGGTAGATGCAATACGCCATGCCTAAATATGAAGTTATAAACAGAAAAGAAGAGTATTATTTAAAAGGTGATATATTCTGGAAAAGCATAGAACATAAAACAGTATAGCACAGTACAGGCCCCTTTGGCGACGGTGTTGTGCCGACCTATTGTCCTACTAAGATTAAACTACCCTGCACACCCTACATTATACTATCATCCATTGCCGATCCAAGAGTTGCTTAAATGTCTCTAATGTATCTGACTCCATTACCACTGCCGGCAGTGCATTCCACACGCCCACCACTCTCTGTAAAGAACCTACCTCTGGCATCTTCCCTATACCTTCCTCCAATCACCTTCAAATTTTGCCCCCTCGTAATAGTCATTTCGCCCCAGGAAAAAGTCTCTGGCTATCCACTCTATCTATGCCTCTCATTATCTTGTACATCTCTATCAGGTCACGTCTCATCCTTCTTTGCTCCAATGAGAAAAGCCCTAGCTCCCTCAACCTTTCCTCATAAGACGTGCCTTCCAGTCCAGGCAGCATCCTTGTAAATCTCCTCTGCACCCTCTTTAAAGCTTCCACATCCTTCCTATAATGAGGTGACCAGAACTGACCATAATATTCCAAGTGTGGTCTAACCAGGGTTTTATAGAGCTGCAGCATAACCTTGCGGCTCTTGAACTCAATTCCCCTGCCAATGAAAGCCATCACACTATACGCCTTCTTTACAAGCCTACCTTCTCTGGGGAAATAAGGGAGGGCATGTTACAGAAGTGTCAGTGGGGGAGCACTTTGAGGCAAGTGATCATAATTCTGTTAGTTTTAAAATAGTAATGGAAAAGGATAGAACTGATCAAAAAGTTTAAAGTTCTAAATTTGAATACTGCCATTTTTGACAGTTTTAGACAGAAACTTTCAAGAGTTGATTGGGCGAGGCTATTTGCAGGTAAAGGGATTGTTGAAAGTGGGAGGTCTTTAAAAATGAGATAACCAGAGTTCAGAGACAGTATGTTCCTGTTAGTGTGAAGGACAAGGCTGGTAGGTCGAGGGAATGCTGGATGACTACAGAAATTGAGGGTCTGGTCAATGAAAAGAAGGCGTATATCAGATTCAGACAGCTTGGATCGAGTGAATTCCTAAAGGAGTATAAGGGCAGTAGGAGCATACTTAAGAGAGGAATCAGGAGGGCAAAAAGGGGACATGAGATAGCTTTGGTAAATAGAGTTAAGGAGAGTCCAAAGAGATTCTATAAATACATAAAGGGCAAAAGAGTAACTAAAGAGAGAATACAGACCCTAAAAGATCAACATGGTGTGGCACCACAGGAGATGGGTGAGATACTAAATGAATATTTTGCTGTGGAGAAGAACATGGAAGCTACGGTACTTGGGGAAATAAATAGTGATGTCTTGAAAGGAGTTCATGTGACAGAAGAGGAGGTGCTTGAACTCTTAAAACATGTAAAAGTGCATAAATGAAAACAAAAATGCTAGAAACCGCAGCAGGTCAGACAGTATCCATGAAGAGAGACCAAGTTAACGTTTTGAGTCTAGATGAGTTTGAATTATAGGGAGAGGCTGAGTAGGCTGGGCCTTTATCCTGGAGGGTTGGAGGCTGAGGAATGACCTTATAGAGGTTTATAAAATCATGAGGGGCATAGATAGGGTGAATAGCCAAGGTCTATTTCCTAGGGAGGTGGAAAACTAGAGGCCATAAGTTTAGGGTGAAAGGGGAAAGATTTAAAAAGGACCCGCTGGGTAACTTTTTTATGCAGACGGTAGTGCATGTATGGAATGAGCTGCCAGAGGAAGTGGTGGAGACGGGTACAATTACAGTATTTACAAGGTATCTGGATGGATATATGAACAGGTAGGGTTTAGAGAGATACGGGCCAAATTAGTCCGATCGGGATGTCTGGCCAGCGCAGTGAGTTGGACCAAAGGGTCTGTTTCCATGCTGTATTACTCTATGGCTCTATAAAACTTTCCAAGCATTCAATTTGCAGGCACTCTAGGACAACAGCTAACCTTCAGTGTAACGCAATTCATAGCAAGTAACTGACATTAAATTGCTTGACTGTAAACTGAACTGTTACTAATTTCCCGTCTTGGCCCCAGTCTTTACCCTCCCCCACTGTGACCCGGTGACTTGTGTAGTCTGTGATTAATGCACTGATCCATTGCCCGGTCTGTTTGAGTGAACTACACTGTGGGACCTCTCACTGTATGCCAGAATCCTTTGTGAAAGTGTGCTCTCTGACCTTGAGCTAACCACCAAAACTCCCAGCTGTGACATGTTGAGCAGGGTGGAAAGGGGGAAGGGAAGAGACTGAGGTTATGAACTTAACAATTTTTAAACATCCTTTATTACTGAAGCGTATCCACAACTGCCTTAATGCTGCTTCCTGATCTGGCAAGAAGGGCTGCTGCTGGGCTAGGTAATGAGAAGCAGTGGTGAGCAGGGTTATCAAGTCCTGTACTTATTTAGACTAAAACAGCTGAATGTCACTATGCCTCACCTCATTACTAGTGTAAGCATGCACACTTATTAAGACTAATGGTTCACCAAAGATTTAAAATCACAGCAAAGGCACTTGATGTAACTGAACAAGGAAGAGAGTTTGCATTGTGACTGGTGTACTGTTGCTGGTCTCAGACTCGCTCCTGTTTGCTCACATATCACTATCATTTGAGTGGACTGCAGAGGAGAGTAGCACTTCAAAGTTTCATTCCTAGTTGTCAATAAAAGTATTGCTCTAGGATTCCCGTTTTAGGGATGTGTCAAAGCATTCCTGAAGAGATCAAACATTCCCAGGAATTCTTGGGAGACCCTGAATTATGACCTACCAAAATGGAGAAAGTTAATTCAGGAATGCATCGGGTACACTGAAATACTTCTTTGGGAACATGCAGAAGCAAAGTTGAAGGGGTGTATAAACCTCCAAATAATCCACTTACCTGAAAACAACAAATGCTGGAGATCATAGCAGGTCAGCCAGCATCCATGGAGAGAGCAAGCTAACGTTTCAAGTCTAGATGACTCTTCATCTGAGTCATCTAGACTTGAAACGTGAGCTTGCTTTCTCCATGGATGCTGGCTGACCTGCTGTGATCTCCAGCATTTGTAGTTTTCAGTACAGATTCCAGCTTCTGCAGTAATTTGCCCCTGACCCATTTACCTGATCCTCCAAGCACCACCTGCTGCACTTGGGCAGAATCTGCAACCCTATCATCTTAGA